AGTGCACTCATTTTTGAACTTTTATATCAGTCGCCAATGGATGAAATGACTAGGACTTATTAACTAGGAATACACTACTTGCTCTACAAACAAGTGTGTTCATGATAATACATAAAAGTAGCTGTTTTTAACATCTAAAAGTCAATAGAAGTGAATGAGACATGGAGCCAAAAAGATTCCAAAGGCTGCGCCCGCTCGTACATGAAGAATGAGGTCAAAAGGCAGGGGTGCACATAACTTTTTTGCTCTGGTTTTCTCTCAGTTCAAGAAACCCCCATAAATGTGCATTGGTATGTTAAAGAAACGTGTTCGACATCTGGTAAAGCGGAAAGACAAATGTCAACTCATCACAGACAGGCGCCAGACACACACACATGTACGTTCAATCATTAAAAGTAAAAACATATTTCTGAAAAGGTAATAACAGCTTTTACAGTAAAGGTCAAGTTGAAAGACATTTCAGGCTGCAAAGAGACTCTTACAGAAGCAGTGAAAACATCCACTTGAAGATAATAAATCAGTGCAGACACAGCAATACTTAGACAGGCTGCGTGCTTTGAGTTGAGCATCAAATCAATGTCTTCATTCACTCATGAGCAATTAACAACAAGTGTAGCTCAACCCCGTTCATTAGAGCAGCTCAGGGGGTCCATTTGAGGTATAACTACAGTATGCACGTTTGTGTATGTGTCCAAATTCATCCATTACGCTGGTAAAGTGGCGGAAAAATCCTAGCAAGTGAAGCATGTTGAGTTAGTGACAGAACTCTAGAGCGCATAATTTCCTTTCCATGTTGTCAACCCTCTGAGCTGCACATCAGGAAACACACGGCCGACCAATGTGAACCGCAATTACTGCTAATAAAACGCGACAGATCGCAACTAAACACCTGGCTGAGGACTCGTGAATGTGAAGATGTGCCGTACAAGTGCAGATGATAAAGTGGAGAAAACATTCATTTGCTGCCTCAGCAGTTTTATGAGTCAGACTGAATCTGCATGCTGTCTCTCTGCACTTATTTTGAAGGGAAATTGTGGAATTCAAATGACATAATAGAAGAAGTCGCAAAGTAATGGAAGTGGTAGCAACTCTTAATTTCCATATTATGATGTGTACAAGGGCTGCACAATTCATCGACTCAGCATCGATATAGCATTGTGCAAATCTGCAATAGTCACATCTTCTTCATTGAAGTTTCGCAAAGTTTAAAGGTGAAACCCAGGGGTTGAACTAGGTTTTGCAAACCTGCTTCAAAACACACACAAGTGCAGGTTGTCAGATTGACTAAAAGAAGCAAGTCTGATGATCTGATGAACAAGTCGTGTTTCAAATAAAAGCAATGGCAAGCGATAGAAGGAATATTTTTCACAATAAAAGGAGTTTTATCCTAACCAACACCTGAAATTTATGAACAAATGGATAAACTGACAGGATAAACTAAAAATCCCCCCTCAGGTATCCCTCATGTGGTTCATTCAATGTTAAATGCTAGTAATGTGAGTTTGAATGTCATTTTACATGACATGTATTGCCATACTACTGAAAGCAGCAGCAGATAGTTTACCTCAGATCTTAAAAATAAAATAAACCGTTTGAAATTGAAACTCAAAAGTGAGACTCAGTGCAAGCCAACACATCAGTGATTCAGCATCTACATTTAATAATGTTAAAGAGGTTTAAAATGTATTCATTCGATTGTAAACTTTACCATTTGGTTGAAGTGCAGCAAGTGCACTATTCTGTGCTTCTGTTTTGTAATATTTATATTATTTGCTAATTAATAACCACTTCATGTGGAACTCTGAATCGGCATCTGCATTTCGGAATCTGCTACTGTCCACCGGAGGTCACATTTCAGTTATGCACACATACTTTGAGATCCTTTCTGACTAAATGAATCAAATACACTGTTTTCCAGCAAAACAACCTGGGGTGCTGAAATATAATTGGATAAACTGGCAGTGGTTAAAAGACCAAAACAAAGACAACGTTCTGGCACGTAACAAACATTTTCAAAGCAGAATATCCAACTCCAGCATTGTTTTTTTAAATAAACAAGAATGTTCACTTAGCATGTTTCTAAAATATCTGCAAACATATTATGGTAATTTTATGCTTTAGAAGTGTCAAAACGTACATACAACACCTTTAACTAAAATAGAGTGAAAGACTTTCATCTGTACTAAAAAAAAACTTTGAATCAAATAAAAAGTTACTGTCATTTGTTACAGCTAAAATCTTCAGTTTTTTCTCAAAGTATAATTTTTGTAATAATCTTTTGCTCAAACTTTAAAATTGAATTTTATCTAAATTAAAAATATTTATTGTGTGCCAAGAAAAAAAAATAATAAATTCACACAATGTAAAAATATTGTTTACTATAAAGACACTCTTTTATTTATTTATTTTTTACTTTGGTGCAACGTAGTATTTTATCGAGGAAAACATTTTTTTCCAGTTTTAACCTTGAACTAACCCATAAAAGGACTGTAATTTGTTACAGATACATTTCTAAATTTCCCCTTAAATGACAGTTTTGACTTTAATATTATCAAAATATTTATTCTGCCCAAGGGAAAAAAATTACATTGACTCAAAGGTAAACTATTGTATTTATAGACCATGAATTAATTGAATTACTTTGGTTCAACTCTAAATCTAAATCCAAGTAAAATTAGAAACCTTTTATTTTTCTATTAATTAATGATTTCAACAAAGAAATCTATTCTATACAGCTATTTTCTTTATAACTCAACAGGTGTAGATTCTGTGATGAAATATATATTAGTCTAACTTTATTAAGTTTATTAACCAAACTATTTTCACCTCCATCTTGTATTTCCTCTTTACCTCTTTGAAATACACATACTAATTCATTCATTACACACACACCGTTTTCTGCAGCTCCTGAATATTGTATGCTCTCTCTCTCTCTCTGACTTTCATGTTTCAGCATTGTGTGCATCATTTATACCAGACCAATTAACATCCCCCCTTAAACCTTGTGCCGCTTCAGCAAAGGCTGAACCTCATTTGATATTCTCTTTCATTTCTGCTGCTGGATCACACACACCTATCAATGGACACTCACTACATCCCTCTCCAACCAAAGTCAGCTCATAAACAACTTAGAGACTCTGAAAAGTCTGCTGCAATCCTTGCTTAAAATAGCAGGATTCAGGAACATCCTATGGAGTTGGTTTAAGCTGGATCAGCAACTTTTATTTTAAAGAGAACAAAAAAAAATCTCAGTGTGGCTCAGTGGTTAGTCTGTGTGGAGTTAGCATGTTCTCCCTTACGGGGATCCTCCGGGTGCTTCAGTTAACCCCACACTCCAAAGACATGCACTATAGGTGAATTGGATTAACTAAAATTGGCCATGTGTGTGAATGTGAGTGTATGTGGGTGTTTCCCAGTACTGGGTTGCGGCTGTAAAGACATCCGCTGCGTAAAATGCATATGCCTGATAAATAACCCTGCAGGCTCAGGGCGTCAACATGACTTCATTGTACCCCAACGTCGTTGGGATGTTGCATTATGTTTGGAAATGAAATTCGGGTTGACATCAGAACCCATCATCAGGCCAACATCAATGTCCAATGTACAACCTAAAATCAACCAAATATCAACGTCTAATCATGTTGCACCCTGACGTTGTGCGGACGTTACCACTATGACATCTATCAGACTTTGGATTTTGGTCACATTCCAACACAACCTAAAATAAACCAAATATTATTGTAATTTGACGTCGTTATTGGACGATAAAATAACATTGTCCATAGACTCTGGCTAGACATTGATTTTTGATCACCTGACATCATGACCTAAATCTTACCTTATATTAAATCCTTATGATGTTGTGTGGCTGATGAGAAGGGACTACACCAAAGGAAAATGATGAAATAAATGAAAAAAAAATATCTTAACAACTTTTATGCCAAAACAAATATTAAAATTACATATGAGGAAAGTAATTGTGCGAAGAATTGATGCCATATTTTCTGGAACACACCATTATTATGATTCATTAATGTTTCCTTTTTTTGGAAAGAAGTTACTTCTGCTCACTGCATCTATTTTTTAATGAATATTATTGAAAATAAATTAAAACTTACATTTTTAAAATGTTATTTCAACTTAAAATAGCTGCTTTCTGCGTCAATTTATTTCAAAATTAATTAAACCTGTGATTCAACTTTGAATTTAAAGCATATTTTAGTCATTAGTTACAGGATTTGGTTTAGAAAAAATTGTAATATGCAGATTTGCTGCTCTATAATGATCAACCATTACTGGTTCTCAACCAATAAAAATGGTTCTTGTTAATATAAATGTTGAAAAATAATCTGCTTCATTTCTTTGTATTGCTTTCTAGAATTCTTGAAAATAAAACAACAGAATTTACTTTCACCTTTGATCAATTTAACGTGTCCTCGTGATTTAATTTCAGGAGTCCTTGATAAATGAAAATATTCATTTAAACAAAAAACAATCAAACATTTATAAGATGAAATGTTTCTTGAGCACGAAATATAAAATAAAATTAACTTCTGAACAATCATGTGATAATAAAGACTAAAGTAAGTATGCTGAAAATCCAGATTTGAATCACAAGAATAAATAGCATTTTAAGATATATTAAAAAATAAAACAAATATCAAGGCTGTGCGATTTTGGAAAAATCTGATATTGCAGTATTTTGCTTATATAATAGTAATTTTGCAATATAAATATAATTTCACCAGACAATTTTAATAGCTCTATTTGAGAAGATTAGTTAATATTTATGAACTGGGAAAAACATGCAAACTCCACACAGAAATACCAACTGACCCAGCCGGGATGGGACACAAACCAGCAACCTTCTTCTTGTGAGGCGACAGTGCTAACCACTAAGCCACCATGCCACCCTGTGTTTAAGTTCAGAAGTTGGAATATTATAGTACATTTTGACCTCCAAAAAAAAACAAAAAAAAAATGGTTTAAAAAAAACTTACCTGGTCCCAGTCTATGCTTCTGAAGAATGTATGAGACTTGATGTCTGTGAAGCCGGTTTGAACTTGGCATCCCAGCCTCTCTTTCGGATCCTGAAATAAACATGCACACAGTATTAGCAACATATCAGGCGAAAAACAAATCTGATCACCCTCAACAACACCACAACCTCATTTGATGAAAGACTGAAGTTTAACCCAAAATAATTAGCATATCTAGTGAACTTTATCCTGACATTATGTGAAGATTCAGGGCTCTGGGAGCGACTCGCTGTGCTGATCTACACTCATTTAATCCCCATGAATCAGGCAGCAGTGGCTAAGAGCCCTGATAACACTGATTACAGGCTGCTGGTGAGTTTGAGGAACCCCAGAGCTTCAATAAACGCAATTTGTCTTGACGATTAAAGGAAAACGCTTCATTATTCACAGATTTAATCAAGCCGGCACGCACACAGAAGCATCGGGAGCCTCGAGAGCTGATCTTCATCATGATGACCCTCCTTATTTTAGCACATACATTAGTCCAATCAGAGGCAGACTGTGTGCGTGCATGTTTGTGTAGAGTTAAAACCCTCATTTATAACCCTCAGTGTGCAATGCGCATGAATTATTATGACGATTTTTTTTCCTCCCTCAGAGCCTATTTGTTTCTCATTTGTCTCTTCTGGTGTAATGGAGCACAACAGTGATCAAGTTTTAAGTGGAAAGAGAATAAACTAGTCATTACCCAAAGAATTATGTCTGATGTAATTTAATCAGTCTAAGTTTGGTTATCACATAACTACTTTCTTGGATTTTTTTAATTAACACTTTCTTCCACAGATTATATATACTTAAGCTTTTATTTTTTCATCAAAAACAATTGTATAGGAATATTTAACAGTCTATATGATGTAAATTGTAATTGCATGTAAATAATATAAAATATGTCATATATATTGTAATTAAATAACAAAATAAAAATAATAACTTGACTTTTAGTTGATCATTTGGTATCAGAAGTGGCTTATATGAAGAGCAAAGGCCTCTAGATTAGACTTATTTTACCAAAATAAAATATGATCATACCTTGATTTTTAATTATTTAATTAGGACAATAAGGTCTGACTTTGCTTAGATAAAAGTCTTGTCACTTAACAGAAATAATGTACAGTATTGAATATAAAGTCATGGTGCAGTGGAAAAAGAATTAATAATGTGTATGACTCCCATGAGCTTGGAGGACTGCATCCATACATCTCTGCAATGACTCAAAACTTATTAATAAAGTCATCTGAAATGGCAAAGAAAGCGTTCTTGAAGGACTCTTAGAGTACATCACGATTCTTTGGATTCATCTTCAATGCCTTCTCCTTCATCTTACACCAGGCATGCTCAATAATGTTTTTATGTCTGGAGACTGGGCTGCCCAATCCTGGAGCACCTTCACCTTCTTTGCTTTGAGGAGCTTGCATGTGGAGGCTGAAGTATGAGAAGGAGCGCTATCCTGCTGAAGAATTTGCTCTCTCCTGTGGTTTGTAGTGTATTGTTGATGTTGCCATCCATTCTCGCAGGCCCCTATTCTGAATGTAACCCGAAACCATGATTTTTCCTTCACCAAACATGACTGATTTCTGTGAGAATCTTGTATCCATGTGGGTTCCAATAGGTCTTTTGCAGTATCTGTGATTACTGGGATGCAGTTCAACAGATGATTTATCAGACAAATCTACCTTCTGCCACTTTTGCAAAAGATCAACTAGAAGTTTTTATTTGTTGCTCTTACAGCTGGGATCCAGACAAGACTTTTGTCAGGTTGTGTACATATTACATGCTATACATAAGCATGTCATTTCACATTAGATTTTTTCACAGCTATAAATACATTTTATTATATATGTATGTGTGTATTGTAAAATGTTATTATTTTTGGTGAAATGATTATTATTAATATGATATTTGTAAATGAAATTGAATTTATGGAAACAATATTTCTAAAGATATACAGCGTTGCAGCATTTTTTATCAAATATATTGCTCAAATACAAATGTTCAGTAAATTGCTTGAATCAAATTAACATTTTTTTAATAAAAACAATTACCGTTAAGCATTTAAAGGTTCAAGAAACCTTTGAGTACTTTTTCTGAAATTTTAAAATTGTGTGTTGAGCGTCACTTAAGGCAATGTAAGCACTTGTCAGCTTTAATTGTGGGAAAAACTAGATAATTTTGAGCTTTTGTCAGCTAATTTCATCTTCCGGGTTTAAAGGCATTTTTGGGATGTTATGAAAATCGGTGACATAGCACCGATATGCCTGTTCAGCGATGACGTATGGGTTTTTCATTGTTATTCATAGCTGAGTTTTCTTATCCTATGAGAAGACCCTGCTTCTTAATTATTAATGAGAGCAGGTGCTTTCCGAAGGCAAGGCAGACCTTGCGCACAGCACGCAGTATCCTATTTAGGCGTTCATAAAAGGTTGTGTGTGTTTGTTTCCATGATCCACAGGGTTTGTTGCATGTCTTTCCCTGCGATGCTGTCAGGGCAGATACAGCAAAGCTGTTGGTTTGCAGCAAGCATTTTTGCAGCAAGATCTGTACAAGAATTGGAGAATGGCGGACTTTGTCTTTTATCAGTTGAGTTCTTTACCATTCTGCCAATATTCGTGCTGCTGTGTTCGGCATATGTTTAAAGTCCTCCGGATTACTGGAAGGGCTAATGGTTGAAATAGATAGGGGGGGAGACCTGCTGCACTGCTATGTCAGACCCAAGGAATGAGCAGGAGAGTTCTCCTCATTTATAGTGTTTACATGATTATCTTTATAATGATAGAACAAATTGTGGTTATGTGTATATGAAATTATGAAATATGAATTATGAATTATGAAATTATGAATTATATGAATTATGAAAAACATATGTAGCAGGGCAATAAATTACTGTTTTTTATCTGCAATTTAACTTTGTAAACTATAAAATCATGGATCTCCTCACGGTTTATGTTTCAGTTTTTGAGCCAACTGACAGTTGTTCCCTCCCCTCTTTTTCCCCTGCTCTGCTGGCCGCGCCCACTCCTCCCTCTGCTCACAGCGCTCCACCACACCCATTATGAAGCATTTTTGAAAAAATTCTGATGTAGACTTGAACTAAAAGAGGGGGGTTTCATGACCCTTTAACTAACTGAAAACATTGCAATTATTTGAAAATATCAATTGCTAACATAAATTTTAATTACTGTTACTCTACAAAACGACACCGCTCTGAATATTTCTAAGATACACTTCTCTGATTGGTGTGTCTCATTTTAGGAATGCTGATAGTGGAATTTCAATAAATTCTTCACATAAACAGAGTTTTTGTAAAAAAAAAAAAAAAATAAATAAAAAATACGATAGAACCGTGACCCTGAAGTTCATGGTAAGACAGCTTTGAAATATCTGTACAGATTCCTTTTATCCAAGCACTTTCAATACATTCAAGGTATTGTAAAACCTTCAACTGTTACAAGCTGAAATACAAGTCTGCATCTATACAATAACACCAGTATAGCTGTGCTGAATGGCATTACTATGTCCAAACTCTTACATTTTGTGTGTGTGTGTGCTTGTTTGCATTCAAGTCCACCCAAGTTCTCACCTTGTTCAGAAAACCTTTCAGCACACTTGCAGCCTTAACAGACAATGACCTGGGAATCCGAATCGGCTTCTCCAAAATGACTGAAAAAAATAAAAAAACAGGAGATAAAAGAGTGTGAGTCATTCTTGCAGAGTCGTGTTCGACAGAGACAGGCTTTAACCCACACACACACACACACACAATCTCTCGCTCAAACACCCACACACTACAGACGCCTGAATAAACCCTTCACCGCTCAATCAAAAGATTCCTCCGCGCTCCGTGTTTATTTCTGTAAATTCATAACATTCCGTTGCGTGTTAAGTGGATTTAAAACACCCCACAGAATGTGAAGAATGTGTCTTTTTAATACGTCTCATCCCTGCTTTTTTTTGGATTTCTTTTACAGTTGTGTATTTCGGGCCGTCGTCCAGAAGTAAAGCCTGTTCAGTTTCATCTCCTCTGAAAGACAGAGCGCAGACGAGCGTTTATCTTTCCCTCTCTGAAGCCCGCATCCCCTGTTTGTTTTCTTTTTCGAGTGAAATGCTAAAGGGATTTGGGTCTTGCCCTGCTGCTGTGACGCGGTTTGGACGGCGGCCCGGAAGCGGCTGAAGTGTTGGCGCGGTGGTGCCAGCATCTGCCCTGCTCTTGGGTGGGCGACGGAGTGCCGGTGTTCGGGCCGAGGGGAGGCTGGAGTGGGACATATGGCCGAACTGAGGTTTGGATGGAGGGGGATGTAGTTCCGGTGGTGGAGAGAGCTCCAGGTTGGCATGTGTGTGTGTCTGTATGAATGAGAGTGGTCCAGGATCACGCTGGCCTCTCGGCTGGAGCAGCACAGAACAGACAGAGAAGCAGATGAACACACAGGCTCTGCTCTGGATGGAGGAGGAGAGGTGACGAAACGGAGGACCAAAGAATGCCTCATGAAGGAATGACACAAATGCCAGGATGGATGAACAAGCGACATGCAAATGTTCTGTTGGTATAGAAAACCATGGGAAAAATTAAAAGGCCACTGGAAAAATCTCTCAGGATTGAAGATGTGTATTTTGCATTTTTAAATGAAATATTATTAAAAATAAGAAGAAGTATTTGTTTCAAGTTTCAAATCCAAAACTGTTCAAAATAAAAGATTATATTCCTTATTTGTAGACAGCACAATACTAAAGTTTTAGCTTTAGAAGAGTCAGTGTTTGGTGGGTACTAAACCCTGATTGGTGGGTACTAAATCCTGATTTTCAGTCACTACTAATGAACAGATTTGGTTTTTGGCAATGTTTTGGCAATATTTTATTTGAAATTAGGAATAAATGCCGTCAGACTTTTGTAGAATTAACAAATATTGCCATTACTAATAAATTTAGTAAATCCAGAAAAACTGAGAATTTTCAAGTGGTCTTTCAACTTCTCAATAGCTGTTTATGTACTGTATTTTCTGGAATACAAGTAAAAAAATCATTGATTAAGCTGTGGCTTATAATAGAAAGCAACCTATATAATGTAATTAGCATCAATAAAAAAACAAAACAAACACAGAGACTGTCAGGTACTTATATGGCGAATGCCCCCTAAGCCACTAGTTTCAGTTTTGCTCTTTATAAATTAGTTCAGGTTTAAAGTCCCCAATAAATCAAAACTAACCATATGATTTTGTTAGCTTACATTGCCAGTTTTGTGGTAAACAATTCATCTGTGCATCTCATTGAGAAAAAAATAGTTAGCCCTTCTTTAGTTGAAATATGAAAATGCACTTCCTGTTTGCTTTTAGTTAAGTTATCAGATTACATGATTTTGAGATAATGGGCATGGCTAACACTGCTCCAACTGTCAGTTTTGACAAAAAACAGGAATTGTGAGCAGGAGGTGTTTGTTAGGTTGTAATAGTTCTTCCAAAACCCCTTTCACGATCTTTCTGAATGAAATGCCAACTTTACAACGTCCATTCAGCCTGCAGTAGAAAAAAACAAGCCACACTTACGCCCAAGCCTTCTCCATCTGCAGGTAAGAGGGAAAGAGGCGTGTGGAAAGGGCGACGCAGTGGCGCAGTAGGTAGTGCTATCGCCTCACAGCAAGAAGGTCGCTGGTTCGAACCTTGGCTCTGTTGGCGTTTCTGTGTGGAGTTTGCATGTTCTCCCTGAGCTCGCGTGGGTTTCCTCCGGGTGCTCCGGTTTCCCCCACAGTCCAAAGACATGCTGTGCAGGTGAATTGGGTAGTGTACGAGTGTGTGGATGTTTGCCAGAGATGGGGTGCGGCTGCAAGGGCATCCGCTGTGTAAAAAACGTGCTGGATAAGTTGTGGGTTCATTTCGCTGTGGCAACCCCGGAATAATAAAGGACTAAGCCGACAAGAAAATGAATGAATGAATCATTTTACAATAATCTTCTTAGAAAAGTTTAACAAATTTTTTATCTTTTATAGCATGCACATTCTATTAATTTATAATGAATTGTATGTTTTTAATTAAAAATATGAAGATAAATTGTTGTCAATAAGACATTGTTGACAAATGCCAAATACATACAATTTGGCTTTGGTGAGTGAAAAAAAGCTGAATACAAAGAATATGGTTTAGAATTAAGCTGGATTAAGGTGGACTCACCCTGGAAGAGATACTCCTCTGTGTTCATGTCAGGATTGTCAGTGATGATATCGAAGGGCGATCGGCCCGCCATCATCTCAAACATGAGCACGCCGAGAGCCCACCAGTCCACACTGAAACCTGAGACACAATGATAGATTCACTGAACAGTCCTAGCATACATACATGCATACATACATACATACATACATACATACATACATACATACATGCATACATGCATACATGCAAACATACATACAAAAATGAAATAATATTTTTTTAATTCAAATAAAATATTTTTTATTGACTTTTGTGGCAGATCTAATAGCAGGGACAAGTTATTAATCTTAATTTTCTGTTAAGAGTGAGCAATATTGTAAATTAAATGTGAAAAGACTTTTGGTCTCTTTTACTTCCATAGATTTTTGGTCATAAGAAACAATCTTCTTATGCTGCTTGATGCAAAAATAATCAAATAAGTAAATAAATTATTAAATAAATAATCATAAGAAGTAATTAGAATAAATTAAATAACAAAAAGTATTTAAATAAAATAAAATGAAATAAAATAACATAAAATAGTGATTGACTTTCTGATACAGTTCTGATAGCAAGGATGTGTTATTAATCTTATTTTTCAGGTAAGAGTGAGTGAAACTGTAAATTAAATGTACAAAGACTTTTGTTCTCTTTTATCAGTGCTTTTAGTCATAAAAAACAATCTTGTTATGGTGCCTGTATGCCAACTAGAATTTACTTTATCATATTATTTTTATTTTAATGTAAAGTCATAAACACATTGGTTTGTATTGGTTTTTAATTCCTAGTCATTTTCCCATAGCAAGCAAATGAATCAAAGTCTTGACACAGTCACAAAAAAAGCTTACATCCACACTGCATTGAATCGATTCACTCTTACCATAATCCTCTCCCCTCAGGATCTCTGGGGCGATGTAGTTGGGCGTCCCACAGAATGTGCTGGTGGTGTCACCTGGTCTGATTCCCTCCTGTTAAAAAAAAAAAAAAAAAAAAAAAAAAAAAAAAAATATATATATATATATATATATATATATATATATATATATATATATACAGCATGCTTTGATCCAGTCAGAAGTACAAATATCACTATAAGTATAACTAAGTGATTAGCATAAAGTTGCACCTTGCACATGCCATAGTCTGTAAGTTTGATATGGCCATCCTGGTCCAATAGTACATTGTCCAGTTTTAAATCCCGGTAAATAATGCCCTTCTCATGCAGAAAATTAAGAGCGATGCAAATTTCAGCAGCATAAAATCTGTAGGAAACAGGAAACAAAACATTTCTTTGGCATCAAAAAAACAAAAAACAAAACAGAAATACACATACAAACATAAAATGTTTTATACTTTTACCAAAGCATACATTTATTTGGTCAAAAATACAATACAATTTTTTTAAAAAAATCATAATCTAGAATCACTGTTTTCTATTTTAAGGCAGGAGGTTGCAAACAAAAAAAATCCTGCAAATATCAATGTCAAAAAATATATTAAAAATATATATATTTTGAACCGGACTTTACACAATGTTCAGATTTTGTTATTGTTGTGTAGTATATATTTGATTTAATATTGTATAAAAACATTTTGAAGCTGACTTCACACAATGTTCAGATTTTGTTAGTGTTCAAGCGCCAACATTCCGCTTTCCCTTATAAAGCTATTACAGAATAACTAAAACTGCAATTCATCGAAATCCTACTAGGCCTGGATCCAAAATAAAGCACATTTCTGTTGACCCCAATGTTAAAATGGCCAACTTTATAGCAGAAAAAAAAGTATTTACAGCCTGGTACAAAAATTTATTTTGGTGTATATAACTAATATTACACTTCATGACAACTTTGAGCGGGGTGATTCTTTATAACTCATCCCTTTTTATTTATATTAAGTGTGCATAATTAAGGGTGTCTTCACTTGAGTGACAGCCTGGTCATGCTGATCACTGTCACATCAACTCAGCTGATTCCGGCTGATTAGCAACTGAACTTGGCATTTATATCCTATTATTGTTTTGTTTTATGTGGCTTTACACAGTCAATTGCCTTTTGGAATTATTTCTTACAATTATCAGATAATATGGCATACTGTGCAGTTAATTGTGCTCACAAACCATTCAAGTAGCCTCCATTTGCCAGGTGAGTGAAATTCTCATATACTTTTATGTAAAATGTATTTGTATTATTTAAGAAAATGTATTATTTAGAAGTTGATTGCACTCCAGAATCTGACAGACTGATAGGCTGTAGACTATAGAAGAATCATCTGAAATGTTGTCATAAAGTATTATGCCTGGATTTCCTAAATAGCCTTGCATTTACTAACACAGAAAATATTTGAAGTATTTGGAAGAATTCATGCTTTCTTGCTGTAGATAAACATCAGAAGAACAATGTTTAGTGGCTCAATGTATTACAGCAGTGCTTTTAAAAAGACTAAACACTTTATTAATATAGTGTACAACCATGTGCATGTGGTCAGAAAACAAACAAGTCACAGGTAATGAAGTATTAAGCCTTTCTCCCAAAGGAAAGCCTGTCTAAGCAAAATGCTAGCAGGCATCTGTAGCTCCGCTCACACCCTTCCTCTTTGCCCTTTTTCGGTTATCCCCGGTTGGTGGTTGTGGCTATATACGTTTGTGGCCGGAAGTTAAAGAGAATTATTTCTATTATTTATTAACTTTCCCATTTATTGAATTTTATTAACATCTACCTCAACCCTTAACACAGGGGTGTCAAACTCAATTCCTGGAGGGCCGAAGCCCTGCACAGTTTAGTTCCAACCCTGCTCCAACACACTTACCTGTAGGTTTCAAACAAGCCTGAAGGACTCAATTAGTTTGATCAGGTGTGTTTAATTAGGGTTGGAACTAAACTGTGCAGAGCTGCGGCCCTTTCGGAACTGAGTTTGACACCTGTGACTTAACACAACCGTCACAGTAATGTAAAAACAGTAGTTGTACCGAGTATTATTTATGTTATCGATTAAATTACACAATAAATTTTATTTTTTTACGCCTACTCCCACCCCAATCCTAAACCCAGACGTCAAAGTACTACAAAAATGTTAATTATTGTTATACAGCATCATAAAAAAATGCTGCTATATTATTGTGCATATTGCACTTCCGGCCGGTTGCATATCCAATCTAGATTGTACACCGGTTGGTGCAATGATGCAGGAACAAAATGGCGACGGTTGGTCACGCCCACTTGTAGCTTCATTTGCACACTTCAGAAAACTATAGGTGACGTCATGGATACTACATACTTATCTTTTACAGTATATGGTAGTTTTATGAAGTATATAATTGATTTAATTATGTGTTATTTTTATATTCAAACTATTTTTAATGTTTTAATTTAATTTTTTTTGCAACTCTTAATGTAATCAATATTTATTGTGATAAATATTAGCTAATTGTTTTTACCTTATTCCCCTGCAGTTTCTTGACTTAGATTCGTTATATTAGTCTTCAGTTTCACATAACCCTTCAGAAATCCTTCTGATATTCAAATTTGTTGATCAAAATGTCGTTCTATCCATGTTATTCCACAATATCTAACAGAAAACATTTATTCAAGATAATTTATTGAATTTTAAGCATAACCAAACTGCAAACAAAGCAACTTTCAATATAAACATGATATGAAATCAACACAGAATACACGATAAACATTTGCTTAACTTTTTTGTGATTTCTAACAATCTCAGCATTTGCCTTTCTAAAGTTAGCAAATAAAGCAAACATAAAAAGAAAGAAGGTGTTCAAAGTAGGAAAAATGAGCGGTGACATTTGTGATCAGGTTCCGCAGTGTTTGCTTCATGTCGGTGCGCAGCAAGGGCTCAGGAGACCTTTAGGAGCAGCTCATGAATATTTAGGCTCATTAGCCGTAATTAGCATGTGAATTTGCATATGTGTGATGCTCAGGACGCATATTGATTGGGCCGGCCGGGGTGCGCTTGACTCACCTAATTAGCCTGTGTTTGATCTCAGTTTATCAGACGTGTGAAAGGAGGCAGTACAGGGGCGCTCTGATCATCGTCCTGCTTCATATACACAGTCATATTAGCCTAACAGAGGGGTATGAGGGCTGCATTCAAACCACAGGCCGCCAGCTTGCTTTAAATATCGGGACGGACAATTTCAAGATATTAAAGCTATGTTTTTGAAGTTTGATGCTTGATGAATGGCATGAGCTTTAATTAGAGCTTAAAACTACTGAAGAGTGCTGAAAATATTCAGTCCATCTATGAAGTCTGAGAAAAAAAGTTTCTAAAAGTTTCATTTTACGAAGACAAGAAGCAGAGTCAATTGAAACAAACACAAACGAAACAAGAAAAAGTTTTAATATTATTGTTTATAGCATTTATAATGTTCAAAAATATTTCTGTTATGAATAAATGTTGCTCCTTTGAATTATTTTTATTTATTGTATAATGTAAAAGCAGCAAATCAGCTAAATTCTATCACTTCTGAGGGATCAAGTGACACTGCAGACCCCTCACAAGAATATTTGTAGAATTAATTTAAAAAAATAATACATTTGAAAACATTTGTTTCAAAAAGTTATTCTATTTCATAATAATATTGTTTTTACTATAGTTTTTTAACAAATAAATGCACAATTGACCCTAAAAACATTTTTTTTTTAAAGATTGCATCAACCGTAAACTAGTGTCCATTCATTTTGCTATCTGAACTATACTAATAAACTATATGGTTGATTAAATTTGATTATGTGCACTTATTAACTTTGAGTAGCAACAGTTATGAATTTCCTATGATTCCATCTATTTATGTCCATACACTTATCAGGTTAACTAGTCTTAATTACCTATTATATTGATCTTATAAAATAAAAAAAAACAAATAAGTAAAAAAATAAATAAATAAAAGTAACTAGTGATTTACAATATATAAGTGGCCTTATATATGCAAGCATGTAAATACTTGCATATATAAGTAAGTATATATGCAAGTATGTCCTGTTTTGTTTACATTTTGTGGTTGTAATCAGGATGATTTTTTTTGATCAGACAATATAATTATATCGGTTATCGGTTTCCAAATATAAAGGCTTATCAGTTAATACATTTGTATATTTTTTCTGTTTTTTTATTAGTATAATAAATCTATATAAAAATTACATTTTTCAGATGATATATCAGTCATTGGTTTCCAAATATAAAGACTTGTCACTTAATAAAATGTAAAGATTTATAATGTAATGTAATGATTCAAATCTAATGAACTGTAATGATTTTTGTATTGCATTTTTATGTAGTAAAGCTAAAAAGACTATATTATTAATTACATTTATCAGACGATATATATCAGTTATTGGTTTGCAAATATAAAGATTTATTTCTTATCACTATCAGACAAAATGTCCATATCGGTCAATTCCTGAATTAAATAAATAAATGTATCATACCTGGCATGTTCCTCTGGAAGCTTCCGCTGCCTCTGCATATGGAACATGAGATCTCCTCCATTCACATACTCGATCACTAGAAAGAGCCTGAACACACAGCAGAGACAATCATTAGAGTTTTGTTGTGTTTTTCTTTTTAGTTTCATCTCGATGGATGAGAGATATACTGTTGCTCTAGAAAGAGACTGACTACTCAAGTTCTGATTCCCTTCAATTTTCTTGTCTTTTCTTTCATCTGTGGTGGATAATTCTTCTTATTTAAAATGAGCTAAAAAAACACAATTCTTCTGTTTTTTGGGGGGGAGAGCTTAATTGCTTTATGTTCAACCGACTTAATTTTTTAAAAAACAGTTTGGTTAACTTAATCGATTTGTGTTGGGACAACGTGAAGGAATTGTGTGGAACACAGCATTTTCACAGTGGTGTATTATGATTTCCCTCTAACTAACTAATTCAATATAATTAAACAAAATAAAACTAAACACTTCTCTTTTGGTAGACAAGAACGAACTGAGTTTTTGGCTTCATTTTCCTAATCATGAAATCAGCAGGATTATCTCAAAACTGCTCAGAAACAAAAAATAAAGATGCAATCCTTGTAATGACACACTAAAAACTCTTGATATTTACTATTATTATCTGTCACTGTGGTTATAGTGCTGTTATGAGCTCACCATTGACTGATCAGTAAACAGTAGCCACAGTTACAATTTCATATTTTATGACTTTCAAAGGATTCTTTTATGCACTTTTTTAAAAAAAACTAAATGATGGTCCAAATGATGGACTATACACAATGTGCTTATTCACTCTATAAACTTTATGACGTTATTTTGGGTCTGAAAGTCCCTCATGTAATGCATTAAATCTGTGACAGTGCATAAAATGTCAGTTTTATCAGATTATTGTTTAAGTATTCAAACTGAGACAACTGCTATAATATCATATGCAATCGATTCCAAAAAGAATCAATTCCTTGATTCCTAGGTTCGAAATACATTCCATAAGAGGAATCGACTCCTCCGTTCAGTTTAAAATAACTAATTAATAATTGTGCTTAGTTACAATTAATATCTAAAAACGACTGGAAAGTAAGTGAAACTCTTAGTTAGGAGGTATTGCAATTGAAATGATCATTCAAGCAAAGAAATGGCAAGCAGCAACAGATGACTTCAATGTAAATATAAAAAGAGATGAAAGTTGGTTCATTCAGTATATTAGCTCAGTCAGATTAATTGTATTTTCTGTTAGAAAGAATTTGGAACATAAACATAACACAAACTTTCTTTAAAATAAAATAAAAATAAACAAATGTTTTAAAAGTTTTAAAAACTATAATAAACTAAATCTACGAACAACAATCTGTCCAGGTCGGTGTCTTCAGCAGTAAATACATGGAGAACTTTGAACAAATGTTACTGTGATGAAAAATAATTAAACTATTATGATAAACGGAGTTAAAAATGACCTTTTCATTTTCAAGTTTTATTGAGATGATTGGGTAAAACTTTACAATAAGCTTCGTTAGTTAATGCATTTACTAACATAAACTAATCATAAACAACACTTGTACAACATTTATTAATAATAATTGAACATTTACTAATGCATTAGTAACATCCAAGTACATGCTTGTTAACAATTGTTAATGCACCGTGAGTTAACTTGAACTAACAATAAATGTATTGTTCATTGTTCATGTTAGTAAATGCATTAACTAACATTAACTAATAAACCTTATTGTAAAGTGTGACCGATGAGGGTTGGTGATTGTATTTTGGCCAGATTTGGTAGCAATACATAAACAAAGGAAAATTAAGACCTGTTTAAAAAAGACTTAAGACCAACAACACAATACTTCAGTAAATTTAAGACTTTTTAAGGCCAAAAATTTGGATTATGAGATTTAAGATATTTTAACCTGCAGAAACCCTGATGAAGGACAATTAAGGATTTCCATATATTAGCCAACATATTAAGTTTGCTGCTGTTGAATCTGCACATGGTATTACAAAATAGTGATTCAGCTAAAATAAAGTTTATTTAGTAACACTTTAAAATAATGGTCCATCAGTTAATGTATTAACTAACATTAACAAACTTAGTAACACATCTATAATGATATTTATTTAAGTTTGTTAACGTTGGTTAATGTTATTTAAGTTAAATAACATTAGTTCATGTTAACTCATAGTTAACTAACTAATGTTAACAAACAACTTTGGGTTTTAATAACGCATTAGTTAATACTGAACTATAATTAATAAATGCTTTACAAGATTAATTAGTTAATGTCATTAAATACATTAAAGAATGGACCATTACTCTAAAGTGTTATTGTTTATTTGATTTTACTTTTCTCATTTTCAGGTTAGATTGAAATTTAAGTTTGTTAAACCTTTGATCTAATTACCTAACTACGTTTATTCCTGGATTTTGTCCCTAAATTTAGGTAAATGCAGGAAATGGTATATAAATTGTATTACGGTTGTAAAACATTTTCCCACAGTTTGTGTGCTCTCCACTTTTCAACCCAAATTTACACCCTTGCCCTAATCATTTAGATAGAACTTTGGGTTTGGATGAACTGCCTGGAGGCATTACAAATATGGCCGCAGAGTGAACAGACTTTCTTTGAAAGGGATTTTGTTTCAGCTTACTTTCTACTGGTGGGGTTTGAATCTGAAAAAATACAACAACATTGAGGAATCAATTCTCAGTCCATCGATTCCAGGAATGGGAATCAGGATTGATTCCAAATATTTTGGGAATCGAGCAGCCCTATTATTATAGTTCTCGTCCTGCAAACAGACCTTTATAGTTGTGAATATAAATATATACTTGTCTTCTGGTGATGAAAAATTAATTAATAAAAAAAGTGCAAGTCTTATTTTTCTGTGCTTTTAAAAGAGAATAAAATATTCTCTCCTCTCACCGGCTCTCTGTCTGAAAGCAAGAGTGAAGTCCCACTAAAAATGGATTGGTCGATGCTTGTTCAAACACATGTTTTTCTGTCTGGACCCAATCGATGTCCTAAACCAGGAAAGAAAGAAAAAAATAGAGAAAGAGAGAGACATTTGATTTAACATGAATAATGAATTGCATAAAAAACATGACAACAATCTGTTTCAGTGTTTTCTAAGAACTAGAGGAGAGGACATGATGTTTTACCGCCTCTACTGGGGGACTATTGCAGGATAATGAAGAAAACAAGCCTGTGTTTTCTGAGAAAAACCTGATCTATTGATCGTTTAACAGCGGAAAACACTTGGCACTATTGCATGCTGTCACTTTGGGGAGTCAAATCTCAGAATTAAGAGTAAGTTTAAAATAAAAAAGCACCTTTCTCTTCCTCTTTAAAAAGACATGTACAGTGCAGAAAGGAAAGACAACAGAGAAAAGAGAAACAGTCAATAATCGTGTACAATATCAATAATTCCTCATGTTTCACAAGCAAGCTTACAGTTTAATTGCACAAAACCGTCCAGACAGGATGTTACAAAACATCTGCATTGAGAATGTGTTCGTGTGTGAGGACACAACACGGTGATGTGTTGATAAAGTCAAGTATTTTTGCTCTGTCAACACTTGTGACACACTTATGATCAGCTCGGTTAGCCAACAACTTGATCTGAAAAATGATAGTGAGCGTCTTTTGAGAAGGGAAGGGGGAAATAAGAGACTTTATGATTGCTTTTCTCTCATGTCTGGAAGTTTTCATTGGCTAGTGTTTTTAAGCCGAGCTAATGGTGTTTCTTATCCCCCTGACCTTTTTTGGGGGGATTTTAATTGGCATGTTTATTAAGTCGTATTCCTCTTGGGACATTTGGCCCCACGGTGTAGGCAAAACTTGACCCACACACACACACACACACACGCACGCACGCACACGCACACACACACACACACACACACACACACACACACACACACACACACACACACACACACACACACACAAAAGGTCTGATTTCCAAAATCAGAACAATTTAATTTCCTGGCTGAGTGGAAAGCAGATTACAGGAAAGCTGTCTCAGCATAAAGACATGAAGAGAAACAGATGATGATTTTGTGTATATATAAAGTTTCCTACATTTCTTCATTTGTTTCTGGCCGTGTCGCACTCCTCCCCCTAATGGAATACTTGATATCTAATGGAGTATATTTTCTTTATTAAAAAAAATGAATAGTATTTATCAAAAAATATTATTATAATGTATTATAAACTTAATATAATATTACTTATTATAAAAACAATACTGCTTATTATAAAATATTTAAATAATAAAACTTTTAAAATGGCAAAAGTACAGCAAAATTAAAAATCTAAAATCAAATACATTAATTCCTTTACATTTATTATTTATTTCTTTAAAATTTTCATTACTTTGAGGTATTTTAAAACAAGAAGGTAAACTAAATAGAAATCTTGTAGAGTTTTTGTATTTTGATTTATTTCATTCATTTTAGAAAACAAAATGACTTCTTTTACACTAAAATCGACATGAATATATTAAAAGCAGTGCATATTTTTGGTATTGTGTCTAGTCAGCATTTCTTTAAAGTTATTCACAATGTTTAATTTTTAACCACTTTAACAGTATGTATTGAATTTGTTCAGATTCATGTTTGTCTCTTAGTTCATTTGATGTCAATTGCTGTTATTCAAAAAGTGTTTTAATGTATTTTATATATCAAAAAACGTGTTAATAATTGTGTGTGTTGTGTACGTATATATATATATATATATATATATATATATATATATATATATATATACACACACACACACACACACACACACACACACACACACAGTATGTGTGTGTGTGTGTGTGTGTGTGTGTGTGTGTGTGTGTGTGTGTGTGTGTGTATACAGACATGAATAAGCTAGTTAGTTAAATAATAAAATTAAATAAATGAAACAAAATAAAAATTAGAAATGTCCTAAATGTCTTTACTGTGTATTTCTTGTATCTCAACACTTTTATTTAATAATTTATTTAATATGACATTTATTTATAGTTTATTTGGTAAAAGCCACTTTATAGTAGCATTAAGTCACTTTTTAAAACCTTTTTAAAGACCTACACTTACAAAAATTAATACCGCAAATACATATACTGTATGGGAAAATAATAATCAGAGGAAATAATGTTGCGAATAAAATTCAATTTATAGCACTGAAACAACTGGTATTAATTTAGTTTGGCCTATGATTTTTTTTTCTCTTAATGTGTCAGTTGTTGTTGACTTGTATTTCATGAATTTTCAAGAAAATCTACTTCGATGTTCTACCAAATAAATAACAAAAATCTTAGATGGCCTGATAATGAGTAAATTAACAGCAAAATCTAATTTCTGCTTTAATTACCCCTTTAAGGTTTCAGACTCATCAAACCTCCTTGAATGCTCAACATACACTTGCAAAACACACACACACACACACACACACACACACACACACACACACACACACACACACACACACACACACACACACACACACAATTTAATAGAACAGAAAAACGGCCCATTCCTTGAAGAATCACCAACGTTCCAAGAAACGATTTCATTGTTTGTATCTATTGCGAGGTCAAATGCATGTCTGTGTGTTTCTGGAAGGACCTCTGCTCCTCCTGAACTTCATTCATGACAGTTCCTTAGCGAGCCAAGTTTTACAAAGACACAATAGCTTTGACTGTACAAAGTTGAATTTGTGATGAATAGGCGTAGAGTTGAGTTTGTCTTTCTATTTGACGCCTGTTCACACATATCAGGTTTCATTTACAGAGAGAGAAAGAAAGAGATATGACTAATGCTGTAGTGCACTGAAACCCGGCTTCTCTTTTATTTGACAAACAATAGATACTACAATAATGGGCTATATGAGTGATTTTAGCACACGTTCAAATCGTATTGCATTCAAAAGCTTTACTCGGCATATGAATAAATGCACTTGCTTTCAAAAGTGAGGATATATTGGTAAATGTTTTATGCTTTGGCAAAGATGGATGGATTTATGGATCACAATTCATTTGGTCCTGTTATATATGAAGTGGCTTTAACTACTAGATATCAAACAAAAGTACAATGAACTAACTGTTTTCATATTTTACTGCACAACAGGTGGGATACAGGCAAGTTCAGGGACAGATTTAACAATGGGTTAAGGTTTAAGGATGGGTCAATGGTGTAATTATAAATGTACAGTGCAAAAAATAAATACTATGATTTTGTTGTATTGTTTCTCATCTAAATATGCAAAAAATTTTAACTCAAGAAGCATTTTCTCAATAAGCAAAATCTATGTAAGAAAAGCAGTTTCTGCAGTGTCATTAAAGAAAATAATTACAGATTAATAATAACAGCAGATAACTTAAATGCAAGTACTTCGTAAGTAAGGCAGCTCAATATAAATTACTATCAACTTTTAAAATGTGTTTTAATATGTTAATATAGCATCCTCATATGCTGTGAGGACATTTACCATTCTTCATGTTACAGAAATCTTTCTATTATGATAAATTGGTGCTCAAGAAACATTTCTAATTATTTTCAATGTTGGAAATAATGTTGTTTTTTTCATTTGGCAAAACATAGATTTTTTGCTAATTATTATTATTATTATTATTATTAGTATTATTATATATTTATTATTATTATTATTAAAAATTAATTTCTCTTAAAAATGCATTTTGTTGACCTCAAACTCTTAAACAATAAATAAATAATTTGATCAAATTTAACTTTTGAAAATTACAATAACAAGTACATAAAATTTTTATTTTGATATATAAGATAGAAATTCTAATGTTTTTCTATGTAAAATTAATTAGCAATAACCTAAAAAGCTATATATATATATATATATATATATATATATATATAAATATATATATATATAAATATATATATATGTGTGTGTGTGTGTGTGTGTTTATATATGTGTGTGTGTGTGTGTGTGCGTGTATATATATATATATATGTGTGTGTGTGTGTGTGTGTGTGTGTTTGTGTCTGTGTGTGTTTATATATATATATATATATATATATATATATATATATATATATATATATATAAATACTTAAAGTGACATTAAAAGGCTTAACTAGGTTAATTAGGTTAACTAGGCAGGTTAGGATAATTAGGCAAGTTATTGTATAATGATAGTTTGTTCTGTAGACTATCGAAATAAAATATAGCTTAATGGGGCTAATAATTTTGTCCCTAAAATGGCTTTTAAAAAATTAAAAAAACTGCTTTTATTCTAGTTGAAACAAAACAAATAAGACTTTCTCCAGAAGAAAAAAATATTAACAAATATACTGTGGAAATTTCCATGCTCTGGTAAACATCATTAGGGAAATATTTAAAAAAGAAAAAAAAAATCAAAGGGTGGCTAATAATTTTGAATTCAACTGTATTTGGTTGTAACAAACTGAAAAGTATGTTTACAAATAGCAAATAGCAATCATGTCTGTACTGTAACACTTTATCAATTAAATGCTCGCTGAATAACGATTAAAATTACAACAATTAAATGCATTTTGCTGAACTCAAACCTTTAAACAATAAATTAATAAATTACTCAATAAAATCAATCTAACAAAAACGCATCAACATAAGATATTTTAGTTTGTTTAATTTGACAATTATTTCATGAAATGTTCATTATCAAGAACCTAAATATATATACAAATACATAAAAAAGCTATATTTTAACTCTGACAGTTTGAATGTGGGCGCAAGAAGGCTGTTTTAAAGGCGACTGACGCATGTAATTATTTTGTGACAAACTAAGTGAGTAATCTGAACTTCTGTGGCAATTTTAAAAATGCTCCTAGAAAACAACCACTATACTCCACTTTAAACTCCATTTATCAATTAGCTATCATTCCCAATTGTTTATTGTCTTCTAGTATCTTTTCTTCTCTTTTTCCAATGGCTTATTTTTGTTTCCAACCATGTTCAGGAAAACCTTATTATAAATGATTATAAGCTTCAAATAACGTTAGGCACAAGCAAACCATTTTACAAAATGTAAGACTAAGGTGTTTTTATGTTTAATACAAATGTTCTGGTTAAGAAACCTGAAGGTGAACAACAAGTGAAGCGAATGATAGAGGGAGGATTACGTGATAGAAATTAAGCACAGTCCCACAGCACCACCTACTGCTCGCCAATACAACTGTACTTACAACATGTGCAGAATTATGATGTCAATATTCTTTTTTCAGTATTCAATATCACATTTTTTCCTTTAAACATTGGACAAATTCCCAGACACATAAACAATATTACCTTCAATTCATTTAGTGTATAATCATTAATAACTAGTGTACAATGTTTTGTAAGATTCAACAAGGTTTCAGTAGGTAATATGCATTTGCCTTAATTTGACGATTTCTATAGTACTGAACCCTTCTTGTGGACATTTAATAATTTTTTGGTTTGAGTATGTTATTTTCATCTTATTTTACAAATATTTATCAAGAAAACATGCTAAATTATGCACATTCCGATGAATGTCTAGGTTTCCACTTTTAGCCAAATGTAAAAATTCCTGACTTTCTTTCACAGGCTAAATGTTATATTACCATGGCCTAAAATGGACAGAAAAAAAAGTCTTTGCATTATTTTAAAAAAGTTTGAGCTTGAATATCATTTTGTGTGAGTTTAATAGCATTATGAGAACAACAACAGATCCTTTACCACAGATTTTAAAAAGGAACAAAAATAAAAAGATCACTCAGTATTTGAAGTGGCCGAAAGCTCTTAAAATGTTCTCCTAAAGGGATAATTCACCTAAAAAGACATTTCAGTGATTGTTTACTCACCTTCGACAATTTTCTAACCAGTTTGAATTATTTTTTTCGTTGAACATAAAAGAAGATATTTTAAATAATGTTGGAAACATGTAATCATTGGCTTCCATAGTATTTTTTTCAGGTTCCCAAAATTCTTTTTTTTTTTTTTGCATTCAGCAGAAGAAAAAACTCATATGGAACCACTTTAGTGAGTTAATTTTCATTTTTGGATGCACTATCCCTTTAATTAAGATTATATACAAACCTGAGAGTAGTATTGGTAAAATTCACTTGAAAGGAGAGATTACTCTGTGGTAATTATGCACACACTATTAAGAACTTTCTGCATTTTCACTGTTAGTAAAAATGTACTCACTTTTGACTCAAACTTGTTTTTATGAGTTTATTTCTTCTGTTAAAGAAAAAAAGAAGGTATTTCAAAGAATGTTGAAAACCTGACATCCAGAGCAGGAAAAGTCAATAGTTTCCAATATTCTTCAAAAAAGGAAGAAAGAAACAACAACAGAATTTACATTTGTGGATGAACTATCCCTGCTTATACTACAAATATTTACAATCTCATTTTTGCAATTGACAAACAGAAAAAAGGGCACTTAAAGGTATAAAGCGCAGCCGCTGTGTTTGTGACAGTGTTTTACCTCATCATCATGAACCAGCTCTTTCTTCACCACCTTCATGGCGTAAATCTGCTCGTTCTTCTTGAGCCGGACGAGCAGCACTTTTGCGTAACTGCCTCTGCCAATGACTCGAATCAGGTCGAAATCCCCCAAACCGAGACACTGAGAGATCTGAATGCCCTCGATACCATCCACCACTGCCTTCAGGTCCTGTAAGGTAACGACACACATACATATTAAAGTCTGAATTATTAACCCTCCTGAATTATTAGCCCACTGTATATTGTTTTCCCCAATTTCTGTTTAACGAAAGAAAGTTTTTTGTAAACATCATAGTTTTAATAACTCATTTCTAATATCAGAAATTTTGTTAATCTTTGCCATGATGACAATAATATTTAATATAATATTTTACAAGATATTTTTCAAGATACTAGAATTCAGCTGAAAGTGACATTGAAAGGCTTACCTAGGTTAATAAGGCAAGTTAGAGTAATTAGGCAAGTCGTTGTATAATATTAGTTTGTTCTGTAGACTATCGAAAAAAATATATTGCTTAAGTGGGCTACTAAAATTTACCCTAAAATGCTTTAAAAAATCAACAGTTTTTATTCTAGCCGAAATAAAACAAACAAGACTTTCTCCCGAAGAAAAAATATTATAAGAAATACTGTGAAAATTACTTCCTCTGTTAATCATCATATCAACATATATTTTGGGAGAAAAAATATAATAATAAAAGAAATCATAGAAGGGCTTATAATTGTGACTTCAACTGTATACATGTACATTTATTCCTGCTCTCAAACAGCAGAGTAAGGATGTGTGTGTGTGGACTATGTGTTATCGAGAATGTGAGCATGTTTCTGAGTGTTTATTAATCTCACCTCTGAATCATCTTCAGCTTTCTCCACCTTTCGGTTGTGTGCTAAGAAAGGGACTGGAACTGAAAGACAGAGAAGGAGAAAACTTTATTTAATCAATTAATTTATTAATTTATTTAAACTTTACTTGATTTTTTTTCTTTTATGTTGTTCATGTTATTCTTCTCTTAAAAGTTATTTAAATCTAAATATTTATGCATTGTTGTTGTACACAATTGTATTTCTGTAGCAAAGCTGAAAATGTTCATTCCAATAAAACAGATTTAACTGAGCCTGAGAAAGAGAAGAATATTAATCAGTATCATTTACTATTATTATTAGTCCTGAGCTTATTAGGATATAAAATAGATAAAGCATTTTAATACAACAGTAAAGTAATCTATTTATTTTATTAATTATTTGAAAATATTTTATTACATTTTAGAAAATAGTATTTATTTATTTATATTTATATTATTATTATTATAATTATAAATTTAATATGTAAATCTATAGCAAAGTAAAGAGAAAATATTTGAGCATTTAAAAAATAACACTAATATTACATTTTATATGCATAATAATAATAATCAATATTATTTTCTGTTATTGTTTGTCCCAAGCTTATTAGAATATAAAATAGTTAAAGTATTTCAATACAACAGTAAAATAATCAATTAGTTTTATTCATTATTTGAATATATATTATTATATTATTAGTATTATATTATTATTATTATTATTATTATTACACATTTAATATGGGTATTTTTAGCAAAGTAAAGAGAAAGTATGTGAACATTAAAATAATAACAATAATATCATATTATACTTATTATAAATAAAATAATATAATATGTATAATAATTTGATAATAACAATAACTTATTAATAATAATATATATTTGTGGAGATGCAGATGACAGATGCAACATTTATTTGTTTAATAAATTAAGTATTATATTAATTAGTCAAAATAATTATTAATAATCAGCAATAATAGTATTATTACATTTATAATAATAATAATCATCATCATCATTCATTCATTCATTCATCTCCTTTTCGTCTTAGTCCCTTTATTAATCAGGGGTCGCCACAGCGGAATGAACTACCAAATTATCCATCAGGTGTTTTACGCAGCGGATGCCCTTCCAGCAGCAATCCAACACTGGGAAACACCCATACACTCTTGCATTCACACTCATACACTACAGCCAGTTTAGCTTATCCAATTCATCTATACTGCATGTCTTTGGACAGTGGAGGAAACCCGAGCACCCGGAGGAAACCCACACCTGCATGGGGAGAACATGCAAACCCCACACAGAAATTTCAACTGACCCAGCTGGGGCTCGAAAAAGCGACCTTTTTGCTGTGATGTAGTAAATGTGTTATTTTATTTTCTATTTTAGATAGAAGAAAGCATTTCAAAAATAAAATAACAACTACATCAATAATAATAATAATAATAATAATAATAATAATAATAATAATAACAACAATAACAATAATAACAACAACAATAATAATAACAATAATAATAATAATAATAATAATAATAATAATAATAATAATAATAATAACAACAATAACAACAACAATAATAATAAGAAGAAGAATTATTATTATTATTATTACTATTATTATTGTTGTTTTTGGTGTTGTTGTTGTTATTATGATTATTATTATGAATTTCCATCTTATTTATGAATTTCTAAAAGCTTGTAAATGATTGAAGCACTGCCTCCAGCAGGGGGAGCCACACACCACTCTGTCAGACAGACACACACACAGGTCTCTCTGTTTCTCTCAAGCGTGTGAAAGTGAATTCCTCCCAGCTGATCACCTCCAGTCTCTTACAGTCAGCAGAGCCCTCAGTGGCAGATAGAGGACACACTGACCCCGATACTCACAGAAACAGCACTAAACACGCACACAGAGGCGAGATGGAGACCTACTTGCGTCTGTGTCCTCTGGGTCCTCAGGGGGAAGCTCCACTTCTTCTCCACTTTTATCATCGTCTACCAGCGGCTCCTGTGATGGCATGACTGGATCCTGCGCAAAACAACACAGATGATGATGACAATGATGAAGACACAGCAGATGTGCTTTACAGGATCTTTTTCTCTTTAAATTACAATATCAGCTACCCTAATGTGAATCCAAATCAACCTTATTTACTTTCTTTATGAAAGGTGCTTTTTATTATTATTTTTTTTATTTTTTCATATCTTGAATGAATTTACTGATAAAACCCAACAGTCAACTTTATCAAATTAAATAATTGTAGTTTATTTAAAATTGACTGAAAGTTAATTCTACTCATTTGAAAAGAGATTTGAACTCAGTGTCGAAGGTAATGAGTTGATTAAATACTTTATTACTTCAACTTAAATGGAGTAAGTTCACAGTACTCATTTTGATTATTTATTTTTTTTTAACTAAAACGGTTTGTAGCAATCGGTTTCCTCAAATGCTTTGAGTTGCCTTAACTTATTGGGTTTTACAGTACTCAGCTGGTTTGAGTTGTCTTCATTTAGTGTGGTTTATTCATAAAATAATTTCGAGAGAATCACGTGCTTATGATCAACATGGCTGGCTCCTTATTAGCTCCGTAATATGTCCTATTAGATGATTACGGAAGCATTAGAAATAATCTGAGTTTTTCACTCCAGTTATCTTGAAGCTCCCCCCTCCTTTCCACCCCTACATTCTCCCCCTTTTCTGACAGGGCGACACGGTGGCCCAGTGGCTAGCACTGTTGCCTCACAGCAAGAACACCTCTGGTCTAACCTATCAGGCCGGTTGATGTTTCTGTGCGGAGTTTGCATGTTCTCCCCGTGTTCGCTTAGGTTTCCCCCAGGTTCTACGGTTTCCTCCCACCGTCCAAAAACATAAACCATAGCCAATCAACTAAAGTACACTTCTCACGGCGACAGGGGAGTTCTCGAGACCTACCTGAGCTTGAACTTCCCTCTCGCCCTTCTAACGTGACGGAGCCCCGGGCTCGAGGATATTACAGGCTCAGGGCTCTATCCCGGGACAGCATGCCAAATACGCTTTGATTATCAGCTAAGTGTGAACTCTTGAATTGGGTTTTTCTGTGCTCAAATTGCTTCGTTTACTCAAATGGAGTAAGTTCACAGTACTCATTAGGATTAGTTTTTGAACTCAAATGGTTTGTAGCAATTGGTTTCCTCAAACTGCTTGAATTACCTTAACTTTTTGAGTTTTACAGTGTATACTTACATACTGTAACTAATTGGAAAAAATATGTATTAAAATTTGTGTTTGCATTACATCAAATTAAAACAGATGAAAACTAAAGTGGATTCGATCATGTTGCATAAAATTTACCACAAAATACTGTAACACTTTAGTTTAGGTCACGATTCACCATATTAACAAACCATTAACTAACACTACTAGCTTATTAAACTACTAATTAGCTGTTTACTAACAGTTAGCAGGGCTTGACATAAAAATTTTTGGATCCCCAGCCACTGTGGCTAGTAGTTTTTCCAACATTACCAGTCACTCGACATTTTCACTAGCCACAATTTTGTTGTTCATTCATTCATTCATTCATTTTCTTTTCGGCTTAGTCCCTTTATTAATCAGGAGTCGCCACAGAGGAATGAACCGCCATTGTATCCAGCATATGTTTTACCCAGCAGATGCCCTTCCAGCAGCAACCCATTACTAGGAAACACCCGTACACTCTCATTCACACATATACACTATGGCCAGTTTAGCTTACTCAATTCACCTATATACCACATGCCTTTGGACTGTGGGGGAAACCGGAGCACCTGGAGGAAACCTATGCCAATAGAGGGAGAACATGCAAACTCCATGCAGAAATGCCAACTGACCTATATATTTTTTATGCATAAAATTTGACTCAACTTTGTGTTTTTTCCACATGCCTCCTCATTCGTTTAAATTTTTCTCTCAAAAGAAAGCAAGTGAAAAACATACCTTTGAATGTGAATGTAAAAGGATGATCACGTGAAAGGTTAAAGCGAAAGCAACCTATTGCTTACAAAAAGACTGTTAGCCAACACTCACTTTTGAGGATTTACAGATACCTAAAGTTAAATAGTAACAGTTTTTGACTCCAGTAAGCTACAAACACAAAATGGGTATCATTGGAAAGAAGACACTTTGATCTTTACTGTGGTAAAAGGAAAAGTCACATGCTCAAAAATATAAAAAGTTATACATTATCAAGTCATGACAATGTTTTTTTATTGTGTTCATTATTTGTTTTTCCATATACAAACACAGGAAAACATTAATGTAATGTCCTAGAAAAAATATAACTTGAAAGCCATGTGACTCATGAGTTTATAATTCAAATTTGATTAAGACAGCATGCAAAATGAGATTTCTGTAAAAAAAAGTTGGGTTGTTTCTCTTTGGACTCTTACCTTTCAAAATAAACCTTCTAGCTGCTGTGGGTGCTTGAGGGTTGCAGCTTTAAACTGATGTACAATTTGTCAATATTACTCATGTTCTTTTTGGAGTAATCTATTCATGAACATTAACATGTGGAAAAACAGCGCCCCAGTGCGTCCGTGTCGGGGTGCTGGCTAAAGAGTCACAAAATCTGGATCTCTTGAAAGCAGCAGGACTGTGGGTGCACAAGCGTCACTTTTTGTTCAGTCTATTTAAAGGAGAACCAATCGCACCAGTTTTGTTTTCAGGTATGGATGCTTCACGCAAGGAATCGTTCCTTTTTTAAAACATTTAAACACTCGCGTGCATCACATCACCTGAAATCAGCCTTGACACCGAACTCCTCGTCAGTGCTTCAAGATTATCTGTGTCAGACTTTGTGCATGATCATTCTCTCATTCGGTATTCAACTGCTTTCTTTTACTCACGCGAACACAGTTATTATTGTTATTATAATCTCTCACGCAGACCCCTCATTGGGCAATCCTTATTGTTGAACCCTGCTTTTTAAGAAATCTACTATTTAAAAATGATCTTCAACCAGCCAAAGTGGTTGAAGTGACTGTCTAACCCGCCACAGCTGAAATCTACAGTACCTGCGTTTGGCAGGTTGTTGTTAATGTCGAGCCCTGACAGTCAGTAAGGTAAAAGTTAGGTTTAGATTTTGAGTAAGATTAGAGATGCAGAATAAAATCATACTTAAGTACTACTAATGAACAGCTAATGTCTTAATAATATGTAGGTAATAAGCCAGTAGTTTATAACATCAATCAATACTTAAACTAAAGTGTAACACAAAATATTTTATAAGTTAAAATAAATTTTCTGAATGCTTTCAAATTTCCTTGATCAAATAATAAAACAATACAGCTGGCAATTTAATTTTAGTAACATTTTAATACTAAGCAACTATTGTAGTTTAAAGCGTAAGTTCAGTTTTGTAATTTTTATTTCATTCAATCATTCATTTTCCTTTGGCTTAGTCCATTTATCAATCAGGGGTCACAGCGGAATGAACCACCAACTATTCTGGCATATGTTTTACACAGTGGATGCTCTTATAGCGGCAACCCAGTACTGGGAAACACCCATACACCCAAACACTCATTCACACACACACTATAGGCCAATTGTGTTTACTCAATCCACGTGTCTTTATTTCTTTTTATAAAAATAATAATAAAGTAATTGGCATCACGGTGGCGCAGTGGGTAGCACAATTGCCTCACAGCAAGAAGGTTGCTAGTTCAAGCCCCGACTAGGTCAGTTGGCATTTCTATGTAGAGTTTGCATGTTCTCCCCGTGTTCGCGTGGGTTTTTTCCGGGTGCTCCGGTTTCCACCACAGTCCAAAGACATGCCCTAGATGAATTGGGTAAGCTAAATTGTCCGTAGTGTACGTGTATGAATAATAGTGTATGGGTGTTTCCCAGTGATGGGAATATGTTATTTTCAATTGTTATGTACTTTTTCTCTCTTTATTGGTATTTAGTTAAACATCTTATAAATGATAAATGAAATATATAGAAGAAGAATAAAAACAACTACAATGAAACATAGTTATCAGCGTTTAAATTATGGAATGGCATTCCAGAAAATAAATTCACACTTTACGTTTGTCTGAAAAAATAACAAAACAAAAAAAAAAAAATGTTGAAATCAAATGTTTTGTATGATGCAAAGAAACGATTGGATTTCTGTGTTCAGTGTTGAATTTCAAACTGAATGTCTGACATATGCAGAAACTGTTTCTCCCAGAAGGTGTTGTTGAGATGTAACAGTTTTAAATCTGTGATTTTCGACATTGTGTTTAAGCAGAGAATCAATTCGCTCATGACAAGACAGTGTTATCATCTGACAAATTCCACAAGACTGATCTTTGAAACACTGTTAGAAATTCCAGCAACGCTTTTGAGAAAAGAGAAAAATGAGCACAAGACAAAAAAACACTGCAATGACTAATAATATAATGACATTCTTGACCACAGAGGAATTGAATCAAGTGGCCATTACAAATAAAAATGTCTAAAAAAAGAAATATTTAAACATGTAAATATATAATATAGAAAATGAATATATCTTTTTTTAAAACGTAATAATATTTGTGGACTCACCATATGCCTTTGACAGGTCAGCGGGACGAGTTTGTGACAGCGTTTATGGACCAGCAGCTTGCAGTTGATACACTTGTAGCCCTGACGCCCCAGTCCCCATATCCTCTCACTGCAGTGGCCACAGTACGCTTTCTAAAACACACACACACGGACTGTCTTTATCTGTGATCAGGTTAGCAAGTGAATGAGAAAATCGGCTCACTACTAACTTAAGTAAACTATTAGGAAAAAAGGATGTCCTCCAGAAATCACATGAGCAGATAACACACATCAGTCCAATATCCTGACTTTACCAGAAGTGCTGAAGCAAAACTGCAATAAATAATGTAGAAAATTCATGGATGATCCAAATGTTGGAGTTTTTGTTAGTATTTTCGTTTTTTTTTTTTTTTTGCAAATCTACTCAGCAAAGATGCAATGAGCTGATCGAAACCTACCAAAAAAGACATGTATAATGTCTAAATAAATGCTGTTATGATAAAAAAAAAAACATGAATATCACAAAAATATTAAGCACAACTGTTTTCAACATTGATTATAACGAGAAATGTAAACTGCTATTTAGAATCAGTTCATAAAAAACATTTTTTATTATTGTTTTAATAATGGCAACAATAGATCAACAACCTTCATATTATATTTTTTATTATTAACAACATATACACTCATTTAAAAATATAATAAATACCATTTAAAATATAAATATAATAAAAACGTATATAAAAGAAATAATAATAATAATTTTAATAATAAAGCTGTTATTTTAATAATAATAATAATAATAATAATAATAATTATTATTATTATTATTATTATTATTATTTATTATTATTATTATTATTATTATTATTATTATTATTATTATTATTAACATACTATAATGAAAACAATAAATATGTAATAATTGTCATTAGATCTGGGCAAAAATGACTCATGATGATTAATCGCATTAAAAATAAAAATTAGTTTTGACAATTTAAGTGTGTTGTGTATAACTGTGTACTGTGTATAATTATTACGCATATATAAATATGCATAGATGTAATTACTAATTTAATTATTATTATTAACAACATTAATTCATTCATTTTCTTGTCGGCTTAATCCCTTTATTATCCAGGGTCGCCACAGCGGAATGAACTGCCAACTTATCCAGCAGGTTTTTACGCAGCGGATGCCCTTCCAGCTTCCCATCTCTGGGAAACATCCACACACACACACACATACACACACACACTCATTTACTACGGACAATTTTAGCCTACCCAATTCACCTGTACTGCATGTCTTTGGACTGTGGGGGAAACCGGAGGAAACCCAAGCGAACACAGCGAGAACATGCAAACTCCACACAGAAACGCCAACTGAGCCGAGGTTCGAACCAGCGACCCAGCGACCTTCTTGCTGTGAGGCGACAGCACTACCTACTGCACCACTGCTTCACCTCTATTTTTAACAACATATAAACTAAATAAAAAATATAATAAATACCATTTAAAATATAAATATTGTCGGCAAAATAGCCTAGTGGTTAGTGTGCTGACATATGGTGCAGTAGCATGTCAGGGCGTCCCGAGATTGAATCCCAGCCCGAAGACATTTCACAACACTAGCCCACAACCCTATAATAATAATAATAATAATAATAATAATAATAATAATAATAATAATAATATTAATAATAATAAATAATAATAATGATGATAACAACAACAACAATAATAATGATAATAATAATGATAAAAACAACAACAACAATAATAACAACAACTATAAAAATAAAAACAATAACAACAATAATAATAATAATAAGCAGAAAAACAGAAGAATTTGAACTGAATGTTTAGTATCTTAAACTTCAATCATTTCTGACAGGACATTGCTAAGACAAATACACACCATACTTAATGTATTGTATTGCACTGACATCATCAGGCACTGGTAAAATGGCAAGCCATCAGTGTCCAGCAAGCACACACTCAGCACCTGCACATATTTAAGGCCAAGCAAATGCTTTCAACAGATTTTGTTTAAAATCCAGGCACGATGGATCAGAGAACTCTGCTGACAGCGCTCGAACCAACATTACCGTTTCAAACAAACACACACACACACTCACACACCTACTCACACGCGCACCTGCTCTCACAAACACACACCTGTTTATACACACGCACACGCACAATGTGAGTCATAAATGAAAATATCTTTAGCTCAGTTTGTCGTGAGGTTCTCCATCTGTCTACTGAGCGGAACGCAAAGTCGCAATAAAAAACGTATACGCTGTGTGAAGGCCGAATTTAAACAGAGAGAGAATTATTAAAGTCATCAACGAAATACACAAGGACACAAGAGGGCATGCTGAATAATGAAAGCATATCAATAGCAAAATTCAACCCAAATGTATTTCTGTATTTAGATTTGCATTTCCAAGACATATATGCAAGGTCTGAAGTGAAATGAAAATAAAAATTAAGTTTTATTCATTTATATTTGAGGTTTCCAACCACAGTTTAATATTTAAATTACATACAATACAACACAAACAAACAAATGAAACTAAAAGCGTAATAAACGTACCTAAATTGAATGCATTTTGAAATACTTATTGAATTTTCCTGCAAACATATCATGGAGTACACAATGTTGGGGAAAGTTACTTTTGAAATAATGCATTACAATATTAAATTACTCCCCAAAAAAGTAACTAGTTGCGTTCCTAAGTTATTATTTTTTTGTGATGAGTAATGCATTACAACATTGAGTTATTTCCCAGAAAAGTAACTAGTTGCGTTACTAAGTTACTTTTTTATGAGAAATAATGCATTACATTACTTTTAAGTTACTTTTGCGTTGTTATTTTTTTTTTACTTGTCTGAGGTTTGATCTCTTTTAGAACCTGCAGGATTTTTTTTCTTCTTTTTTTTTTAAAATAAAGTAGCTCTGCAATTAACAACGCACCACATAGCCTACACCATCATTTACCTAAAAAACATATAAAAAATAATAATGTAGGATAATGTTATCTTCTGAGAACTTCCTGACTCTTGAGCAATACATGACGTATACATATACAGATTAATGAGTGTGAAGCAATGCGATTGCTATTTTTGTACTTTGTCTTATTATAAGTAAAATCACTGTCCATTGAGACAATCCCATTTTTCCTTTATTTGATCCATTCAGAATAATAAGAACACTTCCATCGCATAAATGTAATGCTTTGCCATCTTGGTTTCTGTCTGTTCCTGAATTCTCACATTGAGTGTGTGATTCAATGTGACTACTTTTATTTTAATTTGGCTATTTATTTTAAGAAGCTAATTAGTTAAACTAGAAAGTAACTTGCATTACATTTTTTTTTAAATAACTCAAATATTATTACTTCATTTTTTAATTTAATGCATTACTTTACTCGTTACTTAGTCAAGTAATATTATTACATGAATTGTGTTACTTGTAATGTGTTATCACCAAAACTGGGTGTATAATGGAAATGCAATCCTATTTTTCTAAATGAAGTGATGGTAAATAACATTTAAATGATAATTTTACTCCCATTTTTTGCTTGTAAGTTACACACATTAATTCAATTTGGGTATTACAATTATTATATTATTATTATTAATTTTTCAATTTAATTTTGCAACTTATAAAGCATTTAAATGAGTATGTAATTAGCACTAAAGACTGTTTGTAAAGCCAAATGTATTCATATAATTAATTCATATAATAACTTATTAATAAGTCATCTAGAATGGAAAAGAAAGCAAACTTGCAGGACTCACATAGTACATCAAGGTTCCTTGGATGTATCTTCAGTGCCTCCTTCTTCACCTTACCGCAGACATGCTCAATAATATTCATGTCTGGTGACTAGGCTGTCCAGTCCTGAAGCACCTTCACCTTCTTTGCTTTCAGGAACTTTGATGTGAAGGCTGAAGTATGAGAAGGAGCGCTATGCTGCTGAAGAATTTGCCCTCTCCTGTGGTTTTTAATGTACTTGTATTGGGCAGCATAAATGTCTTGATACCTCAGGACTCTGCAGATCTCTTGCATTCTCCCATACTAATTGTACCCCCAAACCATGATTTTTTTTCACCAATCTTGACTGATTTATGTGAGAATCCTGGGTCCATGAGGGTTCCAATAGGTCTTCTGCGATATTTGTGATGATTGAGATGAAGTTCAACAGATGATTCATTGGAAAAATTTATCTTCTGCCACTTTTACAAATGATCAACTAGAAGTCGGGTTATTATTTGTTCCTCTTACAACTGGAATCGACGACAAGACTTTTGTCAGGTAGTGTATGTTATTTTGGTGGAGAATGCAAATTTAAATAAATAAATACACTGCCATTTTACATTGCTTGTATGCACTGATGGGAATAATTTTCAGTACCGAGTACTTAAACAAATATTGTTTCACCATTGTTATAAATGATAATATTTACAATAAACTATCAAACTTTATCAGTGTCTCCCACATTGTGCCACAGCAACAAAAGTAGGATATAAAATAGTGTATTTTTTAATTATAGTCCATCTCATAGAAAACAAAACAGTTACTTTCCCTGGTAATTAGTAACTTTTCTATAAAGATGTAATTCTGTTACTCATCAGTTACTATTTGTGAGAAGTAACTATATTTAATTTTTGAAGTAACCCAACATTGATCATGTTCCCTGCTAAATGGGCACATTGCAAAGCATGTGATGCGTCAAATGTCCACCAGGAGGCTCTACCCGCACTGCATAATCTCATTAAAATATGCTAATCTTTCATTAATAGCGGACACGCGCTTCCACTGACGTTTCTCCTCTCTGCCGCAGCAGATAACAGAGCATCATCTGTTTAACAAACCCTCAGAGAAGCACTCTGTGGATACACGAGATGCTCTTCTTGTCTGCTCCTCTATTTCACAGCTGTGTGAGCATGTGATGATCCTGCGAGTGTTCAGACAGGAGATCTTCACCTGCCGCAGTCATTTCTCCGCATCTCTGAAGCCTCCGGTCCACCGAGGAACGGCCTACATTTTACTCTGCGCTTTCTGTCAGGTGCTCAGTTTATGTAACTAGGGTTAAACATTGGGAAATCAGGGCTGGGAAGTAGCACACATATCATCTAAAG